GTAAGACAGTAGAGGTCAACATTTGTTTACTTTGCTCAGCATTTACTGAGAGTGGTGTGTAGCACAAATAATAATAACCCAGAGACAGGTATTGGGGTTCACACTGAAGATCAGAGAAGTAAAGCAGCCAGCCACTAGAGATTTCTCACCTCTGCCAATGCTCAGACTGCAGGGGTGCTCCACCAAACCTCAGATTGCATCTTCAGACTGCATTGCTCTCCACCAACCCTCAGACTGCTCGTGAGATTGCACTGAGCTCCTTACATTCTCTCTAGTGCTGGGATTAAAGGCAGGGGCTCTGGTTCTCTTTTAGACCGATTCACTGTCATATATCCTTGGCTGGTCTTGCACTCACAGAGATCCATCTGCTTCTGTCTGCTGAGTCCTGGGATTAAAGGCATGTGCCACCACTGCTTAGCTTTTATGGTTGTGGCTAGCTTTGCATTCTGATCTCCAGGCAAGCTTTATTAGATCATAAACAATATATCACCACAATGGTGTTTTTCTTTAACTGTAGGAGGAGATTGTATACATCTGTTTAGAATTGTGAGTGACCTAGATACTTACCTACCTTTAACCAGTTGATGTTGCAGTGAAGATTCTAGTATATGCAATAATGAACTCTAAGTGAAGGCAAATCTATTTACTGGTTAGTTTCCTAGTAGCATAACATTTGCTTGATAATGATAGTATTTATGTGATTTTTTAATGCTGTACTTATATGTGATATTCTTTAATGCTTTGTCTTTGGTGTGTATGTATGTATGTGAGGTGTGTGGGTGGTGTATGTACTCATGAGTATGGGTACACACACTGTTTATTCTTTGAGACAGGGCCTCTCACAGAGGCTGGACCTAGGTTGGTAGCCAACAAGCTCCAGAGATTGTCCTATCCCTGCACTGCATACCCAGATTTGAACTCAAGTTCCTGTGCTTGTACAAGAAGAACTCTTACCCAATGATCCATTAATGCCCCCTCTCTCATTTTTATATGTAATCACTTGTTAATTATAATATAGATTTCATTAGTCTTTTTGGATTAGTTAGATGGCATCTATGAAAAACGACATGAAAGAGAAGAGTAATTTGGGACAATTAGGCATGTAAGATCATACTCATATTAACCCATGTCGCATCATGACTTCAAATTAAGAATATCCAAAACAGATTTGTAATTTCTCTCTCTATTTTGTTCTCATTGGAGGCAATGAGCATGTCCAGGCCTGGACAGCAAGCTCTTACAGATATGATTTCTCTTACAAGTTGTCACTAGAATTCATATTGCCAAATGATGAAATTGAGTCATGAGTGGTTAAATGCAAGTACCACCGCAATGCTGCCCTCCCTAACTCTCTGGCTGTGCTCTGAAGTATCCTGGGAATGATTTGTGTTTGATACCCTGGTTTGAACCTTCCACCTGTTTGTCTGCTCACCCCTAATTCCCTTTCCAGGGTTCGACTTGCATTTTTTTGAACCTAGCAATTTGTTTCTTTTTTTTCTGAGACAGGGTTTCTCACTCTATAGACCATGCTGGCTTTGAACTCATACAGATAGGCTTGCCTCTACCTCCCTCCCTAGTGGTGGGATTTAAAGGTTTGGGTCTTTAAATATATCAATCAGGTTTGATTGTGAACATTTTGAATCTTGACCTGATAACATGTAGTTTTTGTAGTGTGCTCTTGTTACTTCTTTTAATTGTCTATATAAATTACATTGGATTTGAACTCTTCCCATTATAGAGAATACAGAGGATCCTCTGTCATTATTTTCAACATCTCTCATTAATCTCAGGGATGTATACACATCTTGCCGGTTTTTAAAATATAAACAAATAGAACATTCCTATTGCTCGTAAGTTCCCACGTCAGTATGGTAGACATCTGTCAGTTATTTGCAGAATACATTTCAGGCTTTGGATATGTAAGTCTTACTTCCACAATAGGCATTTATTTTCTCTTTTTCTCAAGGAAGCACTTACTTCTCCCAGTACCTAAGTTATTACAGATCTCTGTTTTTGATTACTGATAGTCAGTGTCACCGGTTTGTCATGGTAAGGTATAATAAAAATGGTATTTTCAGAAGTGTCAATAAAGCATGTGTTTGAATATATGTGGTGTCATTTATTCAGTAACCCCTTTTTTTCACAGCAAAATATCAAACTCTGACTTATTTGCAGACTTAATCTTGTACAAATTTATAATTTCTTAACTATTTCTACATATCCATCAAATACACCCTAAAGGCTTCTTATGTTCCTGACTGCTGGGTGACATTCCCAGAGTCTCTATCTGAGCATGCTTTCAGTGAGACTGGAGAATTCCCACTTTAGTGTTGCCATACAAAGCCTGTGTTCCTGGCCTAGAGATCACATTTTGAGGTCTGTAGACCTCCATAACTCTGTGGCTCATCACATGTCCTGGGATGTCTGGGTCCTTTTTGGATCCCACTGTTCACTGCCCAGGATGGCAGCTTAGGAGAGGGTTGTAATGGCTTTGGTGTTCATGTTCTTCCAGAAATGGTGCCAGCAGGGTCTCTAAAAGTCAGAGCCGATGGCAGGAACAGACCTGCTAGGAGCTTCAAGCTCAAGGGTAGGAAGAGTTCCCCAGGTCTAAAGGGCGGGATGAGCTATTGTTCCTCTTTAGGCTTGACAACATCACATGCTCTAAAGATTACAATCCACAGCAGGTGCGTCATCTTTGAGTATGAAGGATGGCATTATAATGCCACTGCAAGCAGAAAATAACTTTTTATTTATATTCTCCCCTTCCTGATGGGAGTGACGCCAAGGAAAATTCTAAGTATGACTGAAATAAACAGATACATTCAGTCAAACAGTTAAATTGTATCTATATAGGAAACAGAAATGGAGAAATGCTGAGACAGAAGAAATTCTGGAAATTAGTAAATAGTTTCTCTATGAATGAAGAGTGCCTTATCTTTAATCATTGGATTTACACAAGCTGCTTGCTTGTTTGTAACTTGGGCAGAAGAAACACATCAGTCATAGACAATTATCCCAAATGCAAATTTAATGTATGCAAATACATTTTATGTAATGGAGCATTTATGCATGAAAATAAAATATAGGAGTTACCATAATTAAAAAAATGTAACTTGCTATATAAATTGATGCATGATCAATTAATTCCCTTTGAATCAGAAACTGCCCCCAAGCTGATCAGTATATTTCATCTGTGTTGCTGGAAATATATGGAGAATTTTTATCATTTCTGGAAATGCTTGGCTATTTTAATTATTCACTTTCAAGAAGCTAGTACATATTCATCAATAGATGTGCAGGGTTTGAAAATGTGTTTAAATTTTATACAAATGTTATCACAATGGTGTGAATCTTTCTTCAGCTTCCTTTTGTGCTTTTTATGATTTACTTGTTTACTTGTGTGTAAAACTCTACTTAATTGCCACTGTTTATTCTCTATGGTGGATACTCAGGCTACTTGTTTTTACTTTGTTTCTTTTTTTATGGTGCGGAGGAGCCAACTGAGCCCCCAGAGCATGCTAAACACACGTTCTACCACTGAGCAACACTTCCTGTACTTGTTTTTGTGTGCCAGTGCTAAAATTCTTGAGTGAAGTTTCTTGTTGCCTATTTCCTTGAGCACAGTAAACAGAGAGTCAGGAAGTGAATCTGAGCTGCACACAAATACCCAACTCCACCAGCTGGTGCCAGATTGGTCTCTGGATAGGTTATACCAAATTATATTGCCACTAGAATTGAAAAAACATTGTTTGACATTTCCCCCACCACCTGACACTAGGAGGACTTTAAGTTGTCCAGTTGTAAAGTATGAATGCATGCTCGTTGTGATTTATATATAAAACCTAGTTAATGGCATAGACTTGGCCATGCCGCTTACTTTTATTAGTTTCTTGGGCTTTCTATTTCTGTGAATTGTCCACTCATAGCCTTTGCCAATTTTCTCATGTTTTTGTCTTTTATTGATTATTGGCCAACTCCCCCAGTACAATATGAATAACACTCATATTTTGGTTATATGCTTTACAAATACTTTTTCAAAGGTTTGTGGCTTGTGGCTTACTTTATAGTAGACTTATGGGGCTCTGGTTGTTGTTCTGGTCCAATATCCTCAGCAAGTTTTAAAATTCACCATTTATATTAGATCTTCTTGTGAAATTATTGTATATTCTGGAAGTAGCATATACATGTAAATTTATTTTATATAAATTTTAATGGTTCTGATATCTTTCACTGAGTCATTCATACTTAGCACTAATTTGTGTTTGGGTCTGAATTTTTACAACTGTATTTAGAATTAGACTGACTGAGGCATTGACCTTGGTTTAATCAAACTCATAAGCTTGTGTGGTTGACTCACAGCACCTATCTGTGAGAGAGAGGGAGAGATGAGAGAGAGAGAGAGAGAGAGAGAGAGAAACAGAGAGAGAGAGAGAAGGCAGAGATGGGTGTAGCATAGAACATATATTGCCAGGCAGAAGTACTTTCATAAAGTCTGCTTACTGGTCAACGAAGTTTTCCTATGTTAATAAGTTTATCATAAGCATATGAAATATTTCCATATTACCAAGGGCTTTGGTAGTGATGGAGGTGGGGACCAAAAGAATTAATGATTGGAGAAAGTATTTTTAATTGTTCTCACCTTAATGGTGGTGGAAATTTGATGGTGAGTGTAATATGCAGCCCTTTGCGGCCATGCTTATATACCATAACCATGCTTATATACCATAAGATCTCAGAAAGAATGAAGGGCTAGGAAGGGTTTAGAGAAGGCTTCCATCGATTTCTGCATTGTACTTTCATTTTAAGAATCTTGGAGTGAGTGTTGAAAGACGCTGGAGTGAGAGGTGAAAAGTCATCTCAAGTATCAAAAGCTACCATTTGTATGTGTGACAATTTCACTGAAGCAACAGCACATGTTTCCGGTGTTGGAATGTTCTCTTCCGTTCTTTTAAAAATGACTCTGATTGGCTAATTGGGATTTGTGTCTCTCTCCTTTTCAGGTGGTTCTTTGGCGCAATCAAAAGAGCAGATGCAGAGAAGCAGCTTCTGTATTCAGAAAACCAGACGGGCGCCTTTCTCATCAGAGAGAGTGAAAGCCAGAAGGGGGACTTTTCTCTCTCAGGTACCGGCACTGCTCTGTGGAGGGGGTTAGGGGTTTGGATGTTTGCAGTTAGGAACTTGCTATGTGTACCTGTCTATGCGAATGGTACATTTTCTTGATTTTTTTTTTACTTACAATTTCACCAAAATTAAACCTGCTGAACTCCTCAGGGGTAACATAAATTAGGTAAGAATTTCTATGGCTAGAAGTTTCTACAAACAATTCCCAGTATACGAACTATAGATAAGAAATGAAAAGCCCAGCGATTACTTGGTTGAGGTTCACATAACCTAGTATCCTTTTGAAAAAAAAAAATGACTAAAAATAAGCAAAAGTTGCACTAGTATCAAAACCAAGCTTGTGAATATTCACTTTCTCTTTCCTTTGACTTGACTTTATCTGATAAGTAGAAAAATCGAAATGTTGTATGAAAATGAATTTAGTCAACCTAGTGGATGTATAGTTTTGTCAAATAGTTTTTTATTTCAGACCAAGATGTATTGTTGTGCTGTCCTAAGAAAACTGAAGCCTGGGGGACTTGAGACACATCTTTAGAGATGCAGACACACATGTCTGCTTTTACAGGGCTGTGTTCCAGGCTAGATGCAACAATGAAAAATGGCCTTGCTTAGAGTTGCCACACCAACCCGCTTCTAAGTGTGAAACTTTGTTTCTCTTGCCTTGTCTAGATTATATGTCTAATATGTACACACACACACATACACACACACACACACACACATGATCCAAGATCATGTATTATTATCCTTTAAAGCATGTGTCCTGTTTTTTTGACTCGATAAAAAATTAGATTTTTTTTTTTTTGGAGAGGGTGGGTTTTGCTTCTCTTCATTGTAGTTTTCTTGTTTTGTGTTATAACTATTGTATATTCCATGATGTCTTCTTGGCTCATTAGAAGTTGTGGTGACCTTCACAATGTCACCTTTTAAGAATTCAGACAGGAATTCTGTTCAGATTGTGCAAACTTGATCCCCTTCCTCCTTCCACAAACTTGTGGCATCAGGGTTCGGGAAGATGGGCTGGCACCAGGAGTTGCAGACACAGGTTCTGCTGGGCCTGGACCCCAGCTCCTGATGATTCTGGTACTGAATTCCTATGGTATTGGAGAATCAGAAGACAACTGCATGCCCGCTCAGCTCCATGGATAACAGTTAATGCTGTTCTCATTTTCATCTTTGAGATGTGCCTAAGTATAATGATCCCAGATTTTTGAGATGTTGCTGGCACTCACAGCAGTACAGAATTATTTACTATTGGGGTTGGTCACTCAGAAGGGGTACCCTGGAAGGTTGGGACTTCACACTAATATATACTGGTGTAAATCCAGGTGATAGAAGTAGAAGCCAGTATTTTATATAATAGTTTTTCTCCTGGTTATGAGGCATACACACGCACATATATACACACACACACACAAACACATACACACACACACTTAAAAGAACAGTCTTGAATGCTATTAATTGGATATATATGTTCAATACTGAAAAATGCTTCCTATTTGCTTCTTTCTATGATTGACCTATATTTATTTATGTATATGTATTTATACATGCACATTTCCATACACAGGAAATAAAACAGAGATGATCTTGTAATCAGTACAATATAAACTTATACATACCTATATTTATAACACAAACACATATGAGTATAATAAGCATGTGAACACACATAATTTCATGTGTGTGATGGAAGCCAGTCTCCCTTTCTCATATCTATGACTTTCAGTATTCTGTGAATGTTTTTACATGCCATTAGTATCTATTACATACTACCATTTTAGAAGTTACGTAACTTTATATTTTATGAAGGGAATAATTATTTTTATTTGACTTGTTTCATATTTTATACATTGCTATTTTCAGTTATTTTTCTATTGCAAAATAATGTACTAGGAGTCTCTGCAGACAAATGCTTGAATATTTCCATGAGAATACTAAATTCACAGGAGGAAAATTGAATCTTTTTGAAATCTAGATAATAAAAAGAGCTATAAGAGTATTCCTTGTTTAAATGTGCCCATATTTGTTTATTTGCTTTTCTCATTATTTATATATCCAATTTGGTCAAAGTTATGTATTAAAAGCTTGATTGAATGCTTCAGATTAACATAAGATATAGAAGAATATTTCCATGGAGGAAGCCAAATGAAAGTAAAGTCATCCTACTCATACATATCTTTGAATAAAGCTGGTTCTATAGCCACTATTCAGAACATTCTCCTCAAGGAGGAGTATTATGGAACAAAACAGCTTGACAGGCTTAGAAGAGAATTACAAGGATATTGGCTGCTGTGAGCTGTGAATACTCCAGGGTTTGCTTACGGACTTAGGAAGTACTGTAGAACTGTTTTTGGAGACTAGCAAATCATTATAGATTCTTTTTCAATGAAGCAAAACACTTCAGAGTCTTTCAAACAAATTATCTGATTGCTATGTATTCACAGGGGATAAAGAAATGCATCTGATTATATTTTGCTGAAAGGGAAACTCTCTTATTAGTCAGAGGGAAGGCTATGCAATGGAAAAATGGGAAGGAAAAAGGCTTCAATAGACCCACACAAGACAAACAAACAATCCAATGGCTGATGGCTTATTATCACCAAGGAGCATCAGATGTACCATCCATAGATTTATTTCTCAGTGCAGTTGTCATCTTAATCAGTCAGAATTGATGGTCTTCAAGTTTGCTGACTGTGGTGCCATTAAAGGAAGGCAAACAATATCCCTTTTCTATCTTTGTCTCTCCAGTATGACTTTTCTTTACAAGTATTATCTTTATTCCTTGGACAGCAATGGTTTGCAGCTGTCAGAGAAGAACTTTGTGACAGAGCATGATTTATTGAGGCTAGGGCAGCTCTGGGAAGCAGTGGCCCAAGGTTGGGAAGGGTGCTAATTGGGTTGCTGTGATCTACGTGGTTGTCGGATCTTGTGAAGTCTGAGGAGATCAGAAAAGAGACTTAGGGCCATGACACCTCTCATAAAGGTGGGACACTAATTAGCTATGAATTACAGCTGTGCTTTTGGATATTACATATCATACATGGTAGCCAGAGAATCTGTCTTCATTAGGCACATGACAGGTAGTTTTAGTGGCTCTGTTGTTATTTGTTATTGGTGGTGAATTGTTTTTCGGAGGAAAAATATAAAATTCTGACTTCATATCAACTGCTTTGGCTACTTCTCCACATCAATCAATTAAGTAAAGAGAAATTATTATTGCTATTACCATTAATATTAATTTGATGGTTGTGTCTTATAAAGCATTTGTAGTCTTGTTTGATGCACTCTTTAAGGAATGTGTGCTTTGTGGGCTAACACGCAGCTGCATGTGAATTTTTTCAGAAGAGATTCTGCTTTGTAGTTTTGCTTTTGGCATCTATGTGTAATAACTTACTAGTAGGCAGACTATCAGACTCATGGTTTTTGAAATTCTTTCAAGAAGAAACAGTAATAGATTTGAAGATATAAGGCAAACAAGTTCACCGAAGGCTGTTATTTATATTTTCTGCTTTGTAATTTATGACGTTACTTATTTATGCTTTTGTTCCTTTCTTTGAATGGACACATTGACAGTGCACACAACATTCCAGATCTCTGCTAGGTGGGCAGCAGCAGAGTTCAGCAAGGGGTAATCCTTGAATTCAGTATAGAGGAGGATGGTAATACAGGGTGTAGAGGCTGAGTCACGGGAGAAAGTCAAGAAAAGCAGAGGCTGTCCTAGTGCTCTGTATCAGGGCTGGTAGTGTTTGAAGGACTGTTCCTGCCTGAGTTGTAGTTTTGGACTTGCAGGAAGGGTGAATAGTACAGGTGTGTGTGTGTGTGTGTGTGTGTGTGTGTGTGTGTGTGTGTGTGTGTGTGTGGTGGACCTATGTTGTTCAGAGTCACATGTATCCATGCTGAGGACTTTGGACCTCACTCTATAGAGAGAGGTTTTAGGTAGAAGACAATTCACCCGATCATAGATAATGTTTTATGGACCACATGTTAGTTCTTTATTCATTGCTGGAACAAAAATACAGGAAAAGAAGCAACTTTAGCAAGGAAGGTCTTATTTTGCCCTGTAGTTTGGAGGGGCAGCACATCGTGATGGGTAAGACCTGGTGGCCAGGGCAGAAGGTGAATGGACGGCCACATTGTGTCTGTTTCAGAGAGAAATGACTGCCACCACTCAGTTCCCTTCCCCTCTCTTCCCGTTTAGCTAGTCTGGTGCCTCAACCTATGAGATGGTTCCAGCTCCATTTGCAGAGTGTGCTTTTACTTTGCAGTTATTTCTCTCTGGGAAAGATCTCACAGACAGACCCAAAGCTGTGTCTCCTGGGTAATTCTAAATCCAGCCAAGTGGTCAGTGAAAGTGAGCAATCACAGAGAATTCGGTGAGATGTGTGAGTGACATGTTTATAATAGCAGTCTGGAGAGAAGGAAGACAGGTGAACACAGTGGCATCATTTGCTGCTACCTGAAGTCACATGTGGAAGGCTAGCCAAGCCCATGAGCATTCTGCATATGTGGGTGACATACCCTGGACTCAGTGGGCTGCATTGTCCTAACAAACTCCACATTCTCCTGTCTTTTTTTTTTTTTTTTTTTTTTTTGTAAGTTAAGTATAGGAATGGATTAAAATATACTTTGGTATTAAGCAGTCTGATGTAGTGTCAACTATTTCCAGGGTTGTTTCAAAATTCCAAAACCTATGAGCTTCACATGGTAATAAACATCAATTCCTCTTGGTTTAGAAGAGGTAACCGTGGGGCCATAGGAAACTGAGTTAAAGTGTATCATATTTTGATGTTAGGTCTTATGCAGTAGGCTCTTTATTTTTCTCTACTCCCCTTCTCTCCTCCCTCTTCCATTCCATCCTCCCTCTTGCCCAATTTACTCAGGAGATCTTGTCTTTTCCCTTTTCCTAGGCTGATCCATGTATGTCTCTCTTAGGGTTGTTTTTGTTACTTAGGTTCTCTGGGAGTCCTGGGGGTTGTGGCTTGTAGACTGGTTGGT